ACATTTATGCCCTTCAACTTTTGGTGTGCACAAATAGACAAACTTGTATATAATTGAACAAATAGACATACACGTCCTACGTGGCATAATACACGTAGGACTCCACGTAAGATACAAAATTGTCACGTAGAACACCATGTAAGACGAATGTGTCTATTTGTTCAGTTTTATATAAGTTTAAGTGTCTACTTATACACATTTAAAGATTGAGGACATAGATGACCGTTGAAACCAAGTTGAAGGGGCACATTTATGTATCATGCCTTCTTTTAACGTAGGTAAAATACATTGACAATGCTTTAAATTTATCACTAAATTTCATTTAGACAATCAAACTATGATATGTTACAATTTAGACTCTGAACACATGATAAAATGTCCTATTAGACACTTTCGACTCAAAATTTTGAGAACTTTTGTGAATGTTTTCAGCTATCCATTATTTAGATATGTTAACCACCTAAAATATCTCACTCTATAGAAATTAAACCCATTATATAAACAGTGTATTATAGTAAGTGAAAGTGTATCAAAATATTCAACACACATAGTTACAAACTTCTAAAATGGCTACACCTCACCAATCTTTGTTAACAAAAACTCACAAACAAAATCCAATAATCAGCTTCAAGATCCTCACTTTTGCAATAACTTTCTTTGTTGCTCTCTTCTTAGTTGTGTTTCTTGTTGCTCCATACCAAGTTGAGATTGAACATTCTAATCTATGTAAGGCTGCACAAGATTCCCAACTCTGCCTTAGTTATGTCTCTGATTTAATGTCCAATGAAATTGTCACATCAAATTCAGATGGACTAAGTATTCTGAAGAAATTCTTAGTTAAATATGTTCATCAAATGAACAGTGCAATTCCAGTGGTTCGCAAAATAAAGAATCAGAATTTGTAATTGAAAATCATTTAACTTTCATAAATAGTGATGTTACTATATGAAATGGACATATGATCAATATTATTGTATAGCCTATAAATATCATAAATTGAGTGGTCTGATTTTGAAAAAATATTGACCTATGAGTTATGGTGCTCCACTGAATTTTTTAGTGCCATATCTCCTCTTTCATTTTCTAAAAAAAGATATCTTCTATAGGTGATAATTTTTTGCAACCAATCACATTTTCTTTGGTACATTGAAAAAAACTAAATAAATTTTTGCTATCTTTCTTTGGTTAGCAATATGACTTAAATTTTAGGAGAAAAATAATTCCATTTTCTTCAGCGCTTCTTCTAAAATTAGCAATTTCTTTTTCATGTTTATGGTCTTCGGTCATCAAAAATCTCATATTGATTTGCCTCCTTTCAAATGCGTATGATAGTAAATTTGTTCAATTTTAATAAATATCTATCGTCTTATGTCCACTTTGATAAGTTAGATGACAAATAGACAATCCGTCTCTATTTCGAATTCTTTTTAACCCCTATTTTTTGCTAGTTTGAAACAGGGGCAGACCCACATGGAGGTTTTCGGGTGCTCGAGCACCCATTAACCTCGTATCGAACGATATATACTTGTATTAAAATTAAGACAAAGTCATATAAAACTAAAGGTGAGCACCCATGCTACAAACGGTTCAATTGGTTTGTTGGTTTAAAGTGGGTGCTCAACGTTTACATTTTGCTTCTCAGCCCCAGTTCGAATCCCTCTAAACACGTTATTTCTACCTTTTCAACTCTTCTCTTTGTGCCTTATAATTTCCAATTACACTTTCTTTTATTTATTTATTTATTTATTTACTTTTGTCCTTGATCTATTTTCCCTTTCACATTGTCCCGCCGAATTTTCTTAAATTAAATTTTATACAAAAGTTCCAAAATTCCTTCTCCCTTTTTCAATATACTTTTACTCAAATTTTTTTATTAATTTTTTTTTGCTATCGTATTTAAATATCATTTTTATGACTAGTGTTAAATTTGTGCATTAATATTTTGTGATTGATAGTTAAAGAAGCAACCACGATCGTAAAATCTTGAAGCGGTCACTGCTCATGTCTAATAAGCAACTTAATCATGATTTTCCATGTTTATTTACTCTTTCTTTCTCGTCAGTCTAATTAGGGTAAATGAAAAGGGAAGGGAAAAATATTATGTTCTAGAACCTCCATTTAAGTTCTCCAACTCAAAAGCAAAAAAATCCTCTTTCTCGTTGGTTTGCCTTTTTGGTAATTACAATCGTTCGTGAAGGTATATTGTTCCTCCTCTTTTTTTTTCTTGAAACAATTCAATGAATTTTGATTGACTATTAATTATTTTTTTTAAAAAACACTCTTGTTGAGGAATTTTAGCGCGCAATTACGCTCTTTGGTTAATACAAGTTTATATTAAAAATAGTGAGCACCCATAACCGTAAAATCCTAGATCCGCCACTAGTTTGAAAATTTGTTTGATGCTTTATAGTGTTGTAATGAAATTTGAAGCAGATTTCATCTTACTTGAATATTTCTAACATCCATTTTTATTGATCATCCTTCAAGATTATGTTATTAAAAAAAATAGGAAGTATAAATTGAAGAAGAAAATGCTTTGAGGCGTGAATAATCATTTTTCTTAAAGAGATATTGGGCATATACATATTGGAGAAATTCAAACAATTTCCTTCAAGATACAACAAAGCCCTTGTGTATTATATATATAAAAATTTTCAAGCATTTAGAATCACCAATCCTTTATTTTGTTTTATATATTTTCAAATAATCATTTTGTTAAATAGTTAACTATTGTTAACTTTAACGATCAAAATTGCACACTTCAAATAATTAAAAATTAAATCGACATAATTAAATAACAGAAGGTTTAAAATTAGAATTATGCAATAATACATGAATTAAAACAGTTATTTCCCCAATTAAAAAAGAAGGAATCAACTGTCATGATAATCTTAATTCTTACCTTAAAAATGTCACACTATCACAATTTCAAGATGGTCCTACTTTCGGACAAAGTAGTTGAGTCATATCAATTCTCCCTCTTTTGTCAATTTTACATTTTATCACATGGGAGATATTTGTGAGTATTGAGTACTTAGTCCACGTTGGGGTGGGCGCTCTGTATTCGGTTTGAGTTTTTCAAATTTTGGATTTCGTAATTTGGTAATTGATAGTTAAAAGTAGATATTAAATATCATTTTTTTAAAATTTTGATTTGGTAATTCAGTAAATGGTAAATTAAACTTCGATTTGGTACGATATTCGATAATACCGTATTGAAGTTATAGCTAATTGCACTACAAAGTTAATACTATTTCTCCAATCATTTCTATATTTTATGTGGAGGCACGATATGATAAAAGATCAACAAGTAAGAAGACATTAGAAAAAAGCAAATTGATACAACTAAAGGACATATGTATTTGGATTGTTCATGCTTATTCTTTAACTTTCTGTTGGGACTTGTACTAATGAGTAATGCATATGCTGATATTTTGACCTTCATTAAGTAAATAATTTGGCATTCGGGAAATAACGAATACCAAATGGTACTAATGTCTCATACCAAACCCAAACCCAAACCCGAATACTATAATTCTAAAATCTTACTCTCGAATACCATACCAAATACCGAATTACCAAAAATTTTGATTCGGTTCAGTAATTCAATTTTTTATATTTTATGTTCAACCCTAGTCCCAAGTACCCAATTTTCTTCCACCATTTATGGAGAGTAGTAATTTATCAAGGATTATGATGAGATAAATTGAAACACTTTACTTTAATCAAAGATTTTGATTACAACTTTTAGAAATGAAACAAAATGCTTTCCTCTTAACAAGCCTTACTTATGCGACTCAAAATTTATCGAGCCAGTAAATTACGAATATCAATTGATTTTACGTAAGAACAAAAATTTGCAGAAAGGACCAACTTGTACTCTATTATTCCCTCACATATGCATCCACACACATATAGACAACAACATCACTATCAAACAAGGCATAATATATAAATATGCCCTTTAACTTGGCTTCAAATCACATTTATGCCCTTCAATTTTGGGTGTGCACAAGTAGACACTTAAATTTGTATAAAGTTGAACAAATAGACACACATGTCTAACATAACATCCTACATATCATTTTTTATCCTACGTGGTGTCCTATGTGTATTGTGTCATGTAGGACTCATGTGTCTACTTGTTCAATTTTATACAAGTTTAAGTACCCACTTGTGCATACGCAAAGTTGGAGGACATAAGCATAAAATGATGTCAAGTTAAAGAGGCAATTACCCCTCTTTTAACATATGCCAAATACATTGACAATTCCTTAAATTTATAAATTTTATTTAGACACTCAAATTATGATATGTTACAATATTGAATGTGACCACATGATAAAGTGATCCTATTATATACTTTCAACTCAAAATTTTGAGAAAACTTTTGCAATTATTTTCAAGCGTTCATTATTACATACATAAATATGTCCTTTAACTTGGCTTTAACTGACATTTATGCCCTTCAACTTTTGGTGTGCACAAGTAGACACTTAAACTTGTATATAATTGAACAAGTAGACATACACGTCCTACGTGGCATAATACACGTAGGACTCCATGTAAGATACAAATTTGTCATGTAGAACACCATGTAAGACGAATGTGTCTATTTGTTCAGGTTTATATAAGTTTAAGTGTCTACTTATATACACCTAAAGTTTGAGGACATAGATGACTGTTGAAGCCAAGTTGAAGGGGCACATTTATGTATCATGCCTTCTTTTAACGTAGGTAAAATACATTGACAATGCTTTAAATTTATCAATAAATTTTATTTAGACAATCAAACTATGATATGTTACAATTAGACTCTGAACACATGATAAAATGTTCTACTAGACACTTTGGACTCAAAATTTTGAGAAAACTTTTGCAATGTTTTCAGCCATCCAATATTTAGATATGTTAACTACCTAAAATAGCTCACTCTATAGAAATTAAACCTATTATATAAACAATGTATTATAGTAAGTGAAAGTGTATCAAAATATTGAACACACATAGTTGCAAACTTCTAAAATGGCTACTCCTCACCAACCTTTGTTAACAAAAACTCACAAAAAAAATCCAATAATCAGCTTCAAGATCCTCACTTTTGTTATAACTTTCTTTGTTGCTCTCTTCTTAGTTGTGTTTCTTGTTGCTCCATACCAAGTTGAGATTGAACATTCTAATCTATGTAAGGCTGCACAAGATTCCCAACTCTGCCTTAGTTATGTCTCTGATTTAATGTCCAATGAAATTGTCACATCAAATTCAGATGGACCAAGTATTCTGAAGAAATTCTTAGTTAAATATGTTCATCAAATGAACAGTGCAATTCCAGTGGTTCGCAAAATAAAGAATCAGATCAATGACATTCGTCAACAAGGGGCTTTAACTGATTGTCTTGAGCTTCTTGATCTGTCAGTTGATTTAGTATCTGATTCAATTGCAGCAATTGATAAAAGAAGTCGTTTGGAGCATGCCAATGCGCAAAGTTGGCTAAGTGGTGTGCTTACTAACCACGTTACGTGCCTTGATTCGTTAAGTACTAAGAATGGAACAGTTCTTGATGAGTTGATCACTAGAGCTAAGGTAGCATTGGCGATGCTCGCGTCTGTAACAACTCAGAATGAGGATGTTTTCAGGACGGTTTTAGGAAAAATGCCATCTTGGGTGAGTTCGAGGGATAGGAAGCTGATGGAGAGTTCGGGTAAGGACATCAAAGCAAATGCAGTGGTGGCACAAGATGGAACAGGGGATTATCAAACACTTGCTGAAGCAGTTGCTGCTGCACCAGATAAGAGTAAGACGCGTTATGTAATTTATGTAAAGATGGGAATTTATAAAGAGAATGTTGAGGTGACTAGCAGGAAAATGAACTTGATGATTGTTGGTGATGGCATGAATGCTACCATCATTACTGGTAGCCTTAATTATGTTGATGGAACAACAACCTTCCGCTCTGCCACTCTTGGTAAGTGTTCAATTTATCAGTCTATATTTCTTATAACTGTGGTGTTCGTGTCATCTTGCTTTAATAATAGTGCATTTTCATCATATTGCAGCTGCAGTTGGGCAAGGATTTATACTACAGGACATATGTATACAGAACACAGCAGGACCAGAGAAACACCAAGCGGTGGCACTTCGAGTTGGAGGTGATATGTCTGTCATAAATCGTTGTCGTATTGATGCTTATCAAGACACCCTATATGCACATTCTCAAAGGCAATTCTATCGAGACTCCTACGTGTCAGGTACAGTTCAACTGAATTCAGTATTTTTAACATAACAAATTATGAAGGTTGAATCATCTAAGTTTAAATCTTGAATCTGTCTATGCAGGGACTATTGATTTCATATTTGGTAATGCAGCAGTTGTATTCCAGAAATGCCAGCTCATAGCTAGAAAACCGAGTAAAAATCAGAAAAACATGGTGACTGCACAAGGCAGGACGGACCCAAATCAGGCCACGGGGACATCAATTCAGTTCTGTGACATAATAGCAAGTCCGGACCTAGAACCAGTCGTGAAAGAATTCAAAACTTATCTTGGTAGGCCATGGAAAGAATATTCAAGAACTGTAGTGATGCAATCATACTTAGGTGGTCTCATTGATCCAGCGGGTTGGGCTGAGTGGAGCGGAGAATTTGCGTTGAAGACATTGTATTATGGTGAGTATATGAACAATGGACCTGGTGCTGGTACTAGTAAGCGTGTCAAGTGGCCTGGTTATCATGTCATTACTGACCCCGCTGAAGCTATGCCGTTCACTGTGGCTGAGCTGATTCAGGGTGGATCATGGTTGAGTTCTACTGGTGTTGCGTATGTGGATGGATTAAATGATTAGAGTATTATAAAATTACTCTTTTCTTTGTTTATGTAACAAGACATCTCTTTAACTATGTATTTTTGTGTTCCAGTATTCCTAAAAGCTCAAAATAAGTATTTATTAATACAATGTGCCATAACCTATATTGGATGGCCATTTGGTTGAGCTACATTGAGGCTGCAGCAAACATAAACCAAACATTAGTTTGTAGGAAGGACGTTTCTCTGGTAGATTTGAAAGTTATTTACAACAACAACAAGAATAAGAACATACCTAGCGTAATCCACAAGTGGCATCTGAGTATAATAGAGTGTGCGCAGATCTTACCCCTACCTCGGTGGATCTGAAGTTATATGAGTTCATGAATAAAGCCTTTGTTCATGGAACAAGTAAAGTCACAAATAATTACTTTTCAACGCTTTTAATTGAAAAAAAATTATTGTCATGATGTTTTAAATTGATTGTCACGGATTTACATCTATGAAATTTGAAATTCTATGATAGTGGCTATTTTTGAAAGATATGGTGCGAATGAATGTTATTTTTACTCGTGAAGGCAAGACTAAATTATGAGATACTATATGGATAACTTGAGGAGAAAATATTGATCAAGAGGAAAATCCTGGAAGGAGATAAAAGGAAAGGAAGTGACAATAGAAATTTATATATAAAATGTATCCCATTTTCTTTAATTTCATATTAGTTTTTGTTTTGGTTACAAAAATTATTGAATTTGTCCAGAATTTTTCCCTCGAATTTGGTCAAAGTACCAAAAATCGGTTGACCAGATCTGGTATGGATCCCACCACAACCACACCCACATCGGGTTGATACAGGTGCGGCATTGAAATTGAAGAACTTAGGTTTAATATATGATTGAGCATGTTTATTGAAAGTTTGAAATAGATGTTATGGCACTTGATTTACAGTTCAGTGAAACCTAGTTTGACATAAGTAATCTTGATACATGGCTTGAGGATGTTCCTTATAACTGTATCATACTTCAGAATACATGAGTTATAGTTAAGTTCTACTCATTGACACATGTTGATCGGTCTAATATATTCCTATACTGTTGCAGACACACAAATGTGTGCCGTTAGAGGATCTTTCCGCAGATTTTAAGTTAAGGATTCAAGTAAGCACCTTTTCCCGCTTTTACCATTTCTGAGTTGGTTCTCCATCCAGGTCTTTGGTAGAATATTGCTTCTCTGTATAGTTCTTAGCAGGAAAAAGGATCCAGGAAGATTGTTTGTTTTGAATTGTTCTTTTTAACAGATTACAGTATAAATTGATCATTTTGTATGAATAGGAACATAAGCTGTGTGTTTTTTACCAATGTAGAATTCTTTCTTCTCTCTTGTCATTGTTGATTACAGCCTGTATCTTTTATTTGACAGGAGTGCATCAATCGGATCAATTCACTCGAAGAAATGGGTAAATTTTCTACTTTTTGCTCTGACAACTTTTTCGATATAGTTTACCTTTCAAGGCTCCTTGTTTCCACAGTTCTGGACAAACTAATCTCGAGGCAGTGCATGTTTTACTTTACTATAGTGAATTTTAACTTCTTTATCCATTGGGGAGCTATAGTTACCATGTCGAATTTACTTCAAACTTTAGTTCCCACGTCTTTTCATTATCCTGTTTCTCCTCAACGCATAATGTCTGAAATGTAAGTTATTTAGTTTAATACTAGATAGTTTAGTGGTTTCCCTGCTTGATCGAAAACATTCAGAGTGGAACTTACATATAGTAGGTAAATGTTTGTTGTTCAGCTTCATTCAAGTTAGTTGCTTCCTAAAGTGTTGCTGAAAATGACAATGTGAATGTGTTTTCATCAGGGAGACTATATCTGGTGTCATGGGAAATACATATACATTTCACTGGAAGAAATGAATGCCGTGGCTGAATATATCAAGCGTGTAGGTAGGGTTAGTATCTCACACCTAGCTGGAAAGTCGAATCAATTCATAGACTTGAAACCAAAAACACAGGTGGTTGAAGATAGAGTCAGCCTTGAGGAAATAGCTGCTGCCTGATTTAGTGTGACTCAGTGAGTATGTCTCCTCATGATTATGAATTCATCAACATTCCATGCAAAACAAGTGCTAAAATTCTTAATCTTCTCATTTTTCCCAATTTATTCAGGTACATATGGTGTTATAGTAAATTCCTGTACTTGGAAATTCACAGACATAGAGCTGATGCTGACGAGCTACTTCATTTGGAGTGGATAACTACCTGTTCTTTCTTGTATTCTCCTTGGGGCTAGAACAGATTATAGTGTTTTGCTGATGCCTCGGATCAAGCTTTTATTGCGACGTGTTATGCTTTTTCCCCATTCCATTGTTAGTAGGTTGATTGGTTGGCTAGTTTTTCCATGTATATAATTTGATTGAATAAATGCAAAAAATGATCCCTTATGTTTGAGGGTACAATTAAAATGGTCCAAGAAAATTTTATTTGATTGATCAACTAGTACAAATTAACTAAGACAAATAAGCTGAAATAGATGGAGACCGGAGTCATGACCGAACATGACACTTAATACCGTTGACTGCACTGCACAAAAGATATAGGCATAATATGACATTTAACTTGACTTCAGTTGACAACTATGCCCTCAAACTTTGAGTGTGCACAAGTAAACACTTAAACTTGTATAAAATTTAAATAAATAGACACACATGTCCTACATGACATAATATACGTATGATGCCATGTAGGATACAAAATTGCCATGCAATGTGCCATGTAGGATGAATATGCAATTTTATACAAGTTTAAGTGTCTACTTGTGTACACCCAAAGTTAAAGGTCATAGTTGCAAGCTGACGCCAAGTTAATAGTCATGTTTATATGTATTATGCCAAAGATATATATTGCCATGTCAATTTCTCTCAGTATATATGATTAACATAGCCAATAAAACTTAGCATCCATAGAAGTTTTTATTACATTTCTATGTGTTCTCCGCAATAATAGCTAAAATTAGAGGAAGAGAGCAAAGTTGAAAAGGTCTTACAATCTTCTCTTTATTATTATCTCTGTTTTTCTTCTCTCCATTTTTGTCCATTTTTCCCCTACCACCCCCACGCCGTTGTGTCATTTCACACAACGGCATTAGCTGGTGGTCATCGATCACCGCTCTCTTCTGCTTTCATCATTCCCGTGAATGTGATCCGAAATACGCAAACAAAATCATTTTAAAAAAAAAACCCAGATATATTCCTCCATAATTAAAGGAATGCAAATTCCATGGAGGAATATCTCTTGGGTCGTCTTAGTTTTGTTTGCGTACAATTGTCGAACATGTAACGGGCAGGATTACGGCGGAGAGGAAAAACCGGCAGCACCGCCACCGGAGCAAGAGACTTGCGATGGAATCTTCATTACCTATAATTTCGATGGACGAGAAAAGATATATCCATTAGTGAAGAATGTATCTGCACAGGGATGGTCATTTAAGTCCATGTTAACGGTGTTGAATGCAGGGATTTTTGAGCTGAAATCATGGCAAGTTTTCGTCGGATTTCAGCATAAAGAGCTTTTAGTATCGGCGGACGGTGCGGTTGCAATTGACGGCGATGGATTTCCGGTACGAGTGGGTAAAAATGGTACAACATTGGCTGGGTATCCACAATCCGATTTGAAAACGGCGATTGATACCGCCGGTGATTTTACTCAGATGTCAGCTCAAATCAATATTAAGGGGACGCAATTTGGTCTTAAAGAGAAAACAAATCCAATGCCTTCAACAATCAAGCTCGTCAATGAAGGATACAAATGCCCTGCTCCTAAGCGCTATAGTACGTATGTCTAACACTTATCTGCATCAGGTGTTTACATCAAATTAACAAATGTATACTTGTGTTCAATTTGGTGTTCGAGCATAACTAATGGTTTCGATGTTTATGTGTAGATTATACTGATAGTTAACTCTTTTGCAGAAACTTACATGCATGTTTGCTGCAAGAGGGATCCTAAATTCAAGCCCAAGAAGGTGATCACCAAGTTCATGCCTCGTCGTTATGGAGACCTCTCCATAACATACGATGTTCTATCAGCATTCGCAAATAGGTACCAAGCTCAAGTCACAATTGACAATCTTAATCCTTTGGGTCGTCTTGATCATTGGAACTTAACGTGGGAGTGGATGAGGAACGAGTTCATTAACACCATTAAAGGTGCGCATACTCACAAAATAGATCCTTCTGAGTGTATTTACGGACCACAAGGACAATATTACAAGGATTTCGATTTCACTCCTGTGATAAATTGCCAAAAGAAACCAATCATTTCCGATTTACCTAAGGAGAAAGCAAACGATGACAAAATTGGGAAGTTGCCTTATTGTTGCAGAAACGGAACTCTTCTGTCACCTATCATGAATGAAACAGAAGCAAGGTCCATTTTCCAGATGGAAGTTTTCAAACTTCCACCTGATTTAAACAGAACCGCGTTAAATCCACCTCAAAACTGGAAAATCGTGGGAACAATTAACCCGTCTTATACATGTGGACCGCCAGTCAGAATTGATCCATCAGCATTCCCGGATCCTAAAGGAATCGGAATTGCTACTGCTGTTGCTAGCTGGCAAATTACTTGTAACATTACTCGTCCTAAGCCCAAAGCAGCCAAATGTTGTGTTTCTTTCTCAGCTTATTATGCTGAATCTGTTATCCCCTGCAACACTTGCGCTTGTGGCTGTGAACAGACGTCTAAATGTGACGCGAACAAAAAGCCACTACTTCTCCCTCCAGACGCGCTACTCGTCCCTTTTGAAAATAGGGACCTAATGGCGAAAGCTTGGAGCAATATCAAACATCTTGGTCCTATGCCTAAGAAACTACCTTGTCCTGATAATTGTGGAGTGAGCATCAATTGGCATGTTGATAGTAACTACAAGACAGGATGGACTGCGCGTATAACGCTCTTCAACTGGGGAAACAACGCGTTTGAAAACTGGTTTTCCGCGATCCAAATGAAGAAAGATGTAGCTAATGGCTATGAAAACGTGTACTCGTTTAACGGTACAAAGTTACCTAAAGAAAAGAGCAGCACTATATTTATGCAAGGTTTACCTGGTTTGAAATTCTTGGTAGGAGAGGTTAATGGGACTAATCCTAATAAGGATCCAAGAGTACCTGGAAAACAACAATCAAT